TGGTAACACTGTTGGAGGATATCCACTACCTCAGGAACCTGTTTCGTATGTGCTCCTTTTGCTTAGGTAACAGGAATATTAACCATATTTGTCATACAATTAGCGCTCATGCGTTAGACTTTTTTGTTGATCAGGAATTTTGGATTCCTCAGTGATAGTTATCACTGATTGTATAGTCCCTTCAAGTCTTTACTTGAAATTGTAAAGTGTTTGTAGATCTATAAAAGCACTTATCGTTTCGAAAAAAAAAAAAAAAAAAAGTAACCGCTCTAACCTCCTTGGTTGCAACTATTCATCCTCATGTACTAAGGGATCCATCACAGGAGTCTTCCCACATTTGGGGTAGGGTGATCGACAAAAGTAGCATCCTATTCCGCAATGATTGGCAAAAGTAGAGTCCTGATCCGCATTAGAAGTAGAGTAATCGACCAGCTGCAAAACATGTCATAAACCCCTCGAGGAACCCAAGAAATTGTGGATATGATCAAAACTATCATCACTCTCATAATAGGGACAGAGTCGTGTCTGTGGCACATTAAATTTTTTTTATAATGATGAATTTGAAAAAAAAATAAATTGTGCCGATTATCTAATTGTAGAGATTAATTAATTAAAGATAATTAATGAAAATCCTTGCAAAATTTTTTTGATCTAAAAATTGTAGAGAGCAATAAAAGTCTAGTTAAGTAGTTAATGTCCACATAAATTCATAAAATAAAATTGAAAATCGTCTTAAAGTATCATGAAATTGGAAGTAAGAAAATTTAATAACAGAAGTTAGGGAAGTTTTACTTGAAAAAAAAAAAAAACTCTGTCATTCCATCAACATGCACCTTGCCTCTATCCCGTAGATTGGTAAGGCAGTCGCAACTTCAATGTATCCTCCTATGCGGAAGATTTTGCAGAACCTGTAACCGCTCGAACCTCCTTGGTTGCAACTGTTCTTCCTCATGTGCTAACGGATCCATCACAAGTAGAGATGGCAAATTAACCCACTTAAATAAATTTATTCATACCCGCCCATGAATAGATGGGTATGTGTATCTTAAATTTTTGTATATGGGTATAAATGGGTATTATTGGGTAACCAATCAAACCCAATTAATCCATTTAAAATTCTCTTCCCCTAAATCTCTTCTTTTCCCCCACCTATTTTTTTTTCAAATTTTTCATTTTGTCATGATGTTAACTACTTTTGTTTCATTATTATTATTATTTGTTGGTTTTATTTTATTATTTTGTTTTCTCTTAATTTGTTAACTTGCCCATTTTTCGGCATTATCAATTTATGATAAATTTGAGCATCTTTTCTTAACTTTCTAAAATGAAATTTTAAATTTATATATGGAAAAAATGTTAGGGGTTAAAAATTTTTGGATTAAATTTTTATATTAACTTTTATAGTACTTAGTTCAAATTTTTATATTCTTATTATTCAATTATTAAATAATATGTAATTTTGTGAAATAGAGTATAAATGAAAAAAAATTAGTAATTAGACTTATTGAACATTATAAATAAATATTTAAAACTAATGATGTGTACAAAGAGCGGTATAAATTGATAACTTAGTTTGCAAAAATGAATTTAAATGAATTTACAAAAAATTAAAATAAATGAGTTATAAATGGGTAATTGGGCTACCCAATTTATTTTTTGACTTACCTATTTATACACATCTAATTAGATGGGTATAAATGGGTTGACTCACTTATACCAATTATCTATTTTACCCAATCCAAACCCGCTCAAATCACCCATTTTGACACCTCTAATGACAAGAGTCTTCCCACATTTGGGGTAGGGATGATCGACAAGAGTAGCATTCTATTCCGCAATGATCGGTAGAAGTAGAGTCCTGATCCGCATTAGAAATAGAGTAATCGACCAGCTGCAAAACATGTGATCACCCATCGAGGAACCCAAGAAATTGTGGATATGATCAAAACTATCATCACTCTGATAATAGGGACAGAGTCGTGTCTGTGGCACACATGAGGAAGAGCCAAACGCGGGTACGAGAGTAGTTATGGTAACGAAGACATACCCGAGCGGGTACGAGGGTAGTTATTGTAGACAATGGAATTTTAATTAAAATTCTAAAAATTACCATTGGTCTATTAAATATTTTCGTCCAATCGGATATTGCCACATGGCATTTACACTTGGAAAAATTGGTTATTAAATGGCTAATTATATTTCGCCACGTGTCAAAGCGAGGTGTTCCAGATCAATTTAAATTGCAGGGATATCTCCACCAACCAAATCATATCATGTCACATGTCTATTGGATAAATATCTAAATATTTATTTCTTATTAAAGGGATAATATTTAGAGTTATTTAATCCAAGTATATCTCTTATACGCTGCAATAGCTTGACCAATCAAACGGCGCCACGTCGCGTGTCCCCACAAGTTTGGCCAATCGATATATTACTTATCTCGTTATTAATAAATATAAAATAAAGAGATAATGTTTGACTGGTACAGTCCTAATATGACTGCACGTCTTGCAAGATAAGAAAAGTGATACACAGGTCTTCAGCCTCTACCTCTTGCTACAACTATAAATAGGGGTCTCTCAATCAAATCACACACACACAGACAGAGACATACATAGATACACAGAGGGACTTCAAGAGGCACCTCATACACTCAAGTATTGAAGTTTCAAGCTACGAAGGGTTGGATCTTCAAGCTCTCCAAGTCTTTCGCATATCAAGACTTGAGCCTCCAAATATTCTCAAATTCTTCAAATCTTCCACATCAAGATTTGAAAGAGTCAGTGGTGGATCTAAGAACAAGCTGCGAAGACCTTGGATTGGTGTTCAAGGAGAAAAATCGAAGGAAACTCTCCATAAGTTCGAGAAATTTCCAGAGATTGTACCCCCATATTTTTTCTAAATTTATATATCACATATTTGTCGTGTATTTCTTTTTCTTGTCGTTTTGCAGACTTGAAAAATTTTTATCGCGTACAAATTTTTGGCACGCCCGGTAGGACCATCTCTGTCTTCCATCTCTTCTTCTCGAATATTCAACTATCACCAATGGCACCAAAGAGCAACAAAATCATGATTGCACGTTCCAAGACTACTGATGCTGAGCCTGTTCAGGAAGCTGCACGCGTTGCCACCAATACCCGCACTATTGGTCCCGTGACAAGGAGTATGACTAGAGCCTCCACCCAAAGTAGCATGGAAGCTCCATCGATGCCAACTCCCGTCTTCGGTTCAACATCACCAATAAGCTATTCTTCCACGATGGGAATCCAAGATGTTCCTGCCTCAATTGAGAAGGCTCTTGCCATGCTCGAACTTGGATCCGAATCCAAGTTCTCTAAGGATGACGATGATTCATCAAGCACTGGATCAGCCTCTTCACATGAAACTCTTCATTCAAGATTTTCTATTGAAGATTCTGCTGCTTCTTCTGCTGCAATGTCGGCCATGATGACAAATATTTTAAGTCTCGAAGAACAAGTTTCGAACATGTCCAAAATGATGGAAACCATGATGAAACACATCAAGGACCAAGATGCTCTCATTTCTCAACTGCTCACTCAGAAAGATCACGCTGCTGAAGGAAACCATGTGAATCCTAAGGAGCACCAAGAGCATGAAATTCCCTCATCTAAAGGTAAGGACAAGATGAAGGAAGTATATGTGACCGCCGATGGAACTATCCCCGTGGAACAATTGAAGGAACTTGTTGAAGGCATAATCAAAGATAAAAGGGAATGTGGTTGAAAGTCAAGTTTTACCTACTGCAAGCCTTACACTGCTAGAATCGACAACCTCGCAATGCCTGCTGGATATCAGCCGCCTAAATTTCAATAGTTCGATGGGAAAGGTAGTCCAAAGCAACATGTGGCCCATTTTGTCGAAACCTGCAATAACGCTGGAACCTATGGTGACCTGCTAGTCAAACAGTTCGTCCGATCCTTGAAGGGCAACGCATTTGATTGGTACACTGATCTCACTCCGGGGTCCATCGACAATTGGAAATAGCTAGAACAAGAGTTCTTGAATCGCTTCTACAGCACTAGAAGAATCGTTAGTATGTTGGAGTTGACTAACACTCGTCAATGGAAGGATGAACCTGTGGTCAACTACATTGATAGGTGGAGAAATCTGAGTCTCAACTGCAAGGATAGACTATCTGAACCCTCTGCCATAGAAATGTGCATCCGAGGAATGCATTGGAGTCTGAGCTATATTCTACAGGGCATACGTCCAAATACGTTTGAAAAATTAGCTACTCGTGCTCATGATATGGAGTTAAGCATCACGGCCAATGCAACTGATGGGCTTCCCATTCAAGCTCCGCGAGTGCAGCCGCCTCGTCAAAGTAATGAAAGGCAAGAAAATAAAAAGGGGGGCAAACCTCCTTCAAAATTCAGTAGTAAGGAGTCCATGACAATAAATACGGCTCCCATGAAGATTGCTACCAAAGTGAGTCGAAAAGTCACCGAAAGAGTAGACTCTCCTCAAAATATGTCAGTAAGAAGACCTACTCTAAAAGAAATGCAAGAAAAGGAATATCCCTTCCTCGAATCCGATTTACAAGGAATATTTGATGATCTTTTCAAGGAAAAACTCCTTGAACTTCCCGACATGAAACGCCCAGAGGAAGCTGGTCAAGTCAATGATTCAAATTATTGGTGTTATCATCGCTTGATTGGCCACCCTCTCACTAAATGCTTTGTCTTTAAAGACAAAATTATGGAATTGGCCCGTCAAGGGAAAATCCTTCTCGAGGAAGATAAAGCATCGACCAACCAAACAACAATAATGTTCGGGTCTGTGTGTTATCCGATAGAAGTTTTATTCACAACAAGCAGCGCTTCGTCCAAGGAGCTTGAAAAATCCTCTATTGAAAATGTTATTGAAGATGACAACGAAGGATGGACTTTAGTCACTCGAAAGAGAACTTGCAAGCCAAAATAAAGAAGTACATCTTTTTGAAAAGCATTCGTTCAACAAAGCTTGAAGTGACAATGAAACGACGAAATGCAACAGAAAAACAAAAGGGAGTGGCCACAAAACCAATTCCTTCAGATTTTCAGCTCCTTCAAGAGGTTCGACAGCCCGTGACACTGAGAGAATTTATACCCAATGGGTATTTAAATGACGATGCTGATAACTCCACCTCTTGTAATGTCGTCAAAGTTAAAAATTCTCAAGTCACACAAATTGGCACGGAATTTGAGAAAAAACTCGAAATTGATGAGAAATCACCAGTGGATTGTGCAACGACTATCATTTTTTATGATGATGATTTAACTGTTGAGTTCAAAACCCACAATCGACCTTTGTTTGTTAGTGCGTATGTCCGAGAGCAGAAGATGAATCGGATACTCATTAATGGGGGATCTGCTGTCAACATCATGTCCGTGCGTGCTATGAAAGAGTTAGGAATCTCAAACGATGAACTCTCCCAGAGTCGCCTCATGATCCAAGGATTTAATCAAGGGGGGCAAAGAGCAATTGGTCTCATAAGACTTGAATTGCTTATTGGCGAGTTGTCTTCGAGTGCGTTATTTCATGTCATTGAAGCCAAAACCTCTTATAACATGCTCTTGGGAAGACCCTGGATTCACGAGAATGAAATTATACCGTCTATTCTACATCAATGTTTCAAATATTGTCGAGACGGTATAGTTAAGAAGGTTGTTGCCGACGATAAACCTTTCACTGAGGCCGAAACTCACTTTGCCGATGCCAAATTTTACCTTCAGAAAGAAGCAAAATGAAAAGAATCAGTAAACGAAGAAAATCAAGATTTCAAGGTACCCATTTTGCGGTATATTCCAAGATCAAAGAGAGAAGAAGGTCAACCCTCTTTTATCAGGAATGATACATTAAATGTTCCGCTCACCAAAATAGAGCCGATTAAGGGTGAGAAAATGAGCTTGCAAGGATTTGTTCGTCCCAAAGAAGAATCGGCAGTAGAACATTACTCACTACCAACTAATCGGACTCAAGAAGGCTTTGATCCAAACGCATATAGACTTCTTGCTAAGGCCGGTTATAACCCAAATGAGAAGCATGCATTGGAAAAACTCCCTCCTGAGGTGACTGGCGAGAAAACTCATGGATTAACACCTATGCAGAAAATGTTGAAAGAAAAAGGCTATAATGTTGAAAGTTCATCGATGGGTCTTGGTTATCAACCACCTTCTCCAGTGCGTATAATGATCAAAAGGGCAAGTTGTAATTACGTGAACGAAGAAATAGAGGTCACAAGCCGAAAGAGATCTGTGTTTGATAGGTTAGGGAACAGGTCAAAGCGTACTTCTGTATTTGACAGACTTGGCCCGCGGCTAAAAAATTTGAAACCACCTGTCTATGAAAGATTAGGCAGTAAAAATCAAGAGTATCAAGTTGCCAAGGAAGAAAGTCTTGCACTAACAAAGAAGAACGGACCAAGAAAGGGAGTCTCCAATTTCTTCATGCACTATGGAGACTTATTCAATGTAAGAATTGAAACTATTTTTTAAGAACAGGGTCAAGAAAACATGGCTTCCTGTCATCATATTACGATCAGTGATCTTGAAGAGGAAGAAGAAGATGCAGATGACGCTCCCGCTGAATTTGAACAAGAAGAAAAGAATACAGTCGATGCGCTAAAGGAGATTAATCTTGGCACAATTGACGACCCTCGCCCAATTTACATAAGTTCTTGTATGACTCCTGAAGAAGAGAAAGAGTATGTTGATTTGCTGCTCGAGTTCAAAGATGTCTTTCCTTGGAATTACTCAGAGATGCCTGGTTTAGATCCTAGGGTCGCTGTTCATAATTTATCTGTCAAGCGAGAAACAAAACCTGTCAAGCAAACTCAAAGACGCTTTCGGCCCGAATTGATTCCTCTTATAGAAAATGAGATAAATCGATTGATTGAAGCCGGATTCATACGAGAAGTAAAGTATCCAACATGGATTTCAAGCATTGTCCCTGTAAGGAAAAAGAATGGGCAAATCCGAGTTTGTGTTGATTTTCGAGACTTAAATGAGACTTGTCCTAAAGATGATTTTCCTCTCCCCATCATAGAATTGACGGTAGATGCTACAACCGGGCATAAAACACTATCTTTTCTCGATGGATCGTCTGGTTTCAATCAAATACGCATGGCGCCCGAGGATGAGGAGCTCACCGCCTTCCGTACCCCCAAGGAAATTTACTACTACAGAGTAATGCCGTTTGGCTTGAAAAACGTTGGAGCAACATATCAAAGGGCAATGCAAAGAATTTTTGACAATATGCTCCATAAAAATGTGGAGTGCTATGTCGATGATCTTGTGGTGAAATCAAAGAAGCGGGAAGATCATATTCAAGACCTTCGAAAAGTTTTTCAACGCCTTCGGAGATATCAACTGAAGATGAATCCTTTGAAGTGTGCATTCGGAGTCACTTCTGGCAAGTTTCTCGGTTTCATCGTTCATCAACGGGGAATAGAGGTCGATCGATCTAAAATCGATGCCATTGTGAATATGCCTGAATCGAGAAATATTCATGAATTGAAGAGTTTTCAAGGGAAGTTGGCTTATATCCGCAGGTTTATCTCTAATTTGGCCGGACGATACCAACCCTTCAGTCGACTTATGAAGAAAGGGGTGCCTTTCGAGTGGGATGAATCGTGTAAGAATGCTTTACAAGCATCAAAATGTATCTCATGAATCCCCCAGTGTTGGCTGCACCCGTCCCAGGAAAATCATTGATTCTCTATATTTCCGCTCAAGAACGATCGGTTGGGGCCTTACTTGCTCAAGAAAATGATGAAGGTAAGGAGAATGCGCTGTATTACGTGAGTCAGAAGATGACACCTAATGAGTTGAATTACTCTCCCATCGAGAAGTTGTGTTTGGCACTTATATTTGTCATTCAGAAGTTGAAACACTATTTTCAAGCACACACTATTCGACTCATATCTAAGTCTAATCCCATTAAATATGTGATGGCAAAACCTGTACTGTCTGATCCACTCGTGAGATGGTACCTCCAGTTTCAACAATTCGAAATTATTTATGTACCTGCGAAAGCTGTCAAATGACAAATATTGGCAGACTTTTTAGCCGATCATCCCATACCTGCCGAGTGGGAGTTGACTGATGAACTCCCCGATGAAAAAGTTTTATGGTCGAATCCCCGTGGTCAATGTATTTCAATGAAGCTACTCACCGTGATGGAGCTGATGCGGGAGTTATCTTTTATACTCCTGAAGCAGATGTATTGCCGTACTCCTTCACTTTAACATGCCGATGTTCAAACAATGTGACCGAATATCAGGCGTTGATTCTTGGTCTTGAAACGGCTGTAGACATGAAGCAGTTGCATCTTAGAGTCTATGGTGATTCAAAATTGGTGGTAAATCAACTTCTTGGTATTTATGATGTCAAGAAACCTGAATTGATCCCATATTATAAGTATGCAAGACAACTCATGGGATATTTGGATAGTGTCACTATAGAGCATATCCCTAGAAATTTCAACCAACAAGCTGACTCTTTGGCAAGGGTGGCGTCCATGATCACTCTACCTTCTCATCGAAATCAAATTTTAATATGTCAAATTTGGGTCATACCTCCGATGTTTGATGAAGAAGATGATGGTGAGCGAGAAAATACTTATCATATTTTTGTCCATGAGATCGAAAAGGAGGATTGGCGTCACCTCGTCATTGATTACCTTAATCATGGGAAGTTACCAGAAGATCCTAAGAAAAGGGTTAATATACGTCGTCGAGCGCCACGTTTCATTTATTACAAAGGGACGCTTTACCGAAAATCATTCGATGGGGTGTTCCTACGATGTCTTGGAGAAGATGAGGCCATGTAAACAATGGAGGAGGCTCACTCTGGGATATGTGATGCTCACCAGTCTGGCCCGAAATTACACTTTCGCATTAAAAGAATGGGATACTACTGGCCAACAATGGTGAAGGACTGCATTGACTTTGCTAGGAGATGTCAAGCATGTCAATTCCATGGCAATTTCATCCATCAACCTCCGGAACCATTGCACCCAACTGTGGATTCTTGGCCGTTCAATGCTTGGGGTTTGGATATAGTTGGACCACTTCCAAAGTCTTCTGGCGGACACATTTTCATTTTGGCGGCGACAGATTACTTTTCAAAGTGGGCTGAAGCGGTTCCTCTAAGAGAGGTTAAAAAGAAAAATGAAGTGGATTTTATTCGCTTGCACATCATCTATCGGTATGGAGTCCCGCGTTATATCATCACCGATAATGGTAAACCTTTTTGCCATGTAGCAATGAACAAGCTTTGCGAAAAGTTTCATTTCAAACAATACAATTCGTCCATGTACTACGCTGCCGCAAATGGACTCGCTGAAGCATTCAACAAGACCTTATGTAATGGATAAATCGAGAAGGGATTGGCATCTTCGAATTGGAGAAGCACTTTGGGCATACCGAACTACTTTTCGAACTCCCACGCAAGCAACCCCATACGCACTTGTTTACGGTGTTGAAGCTATTCTTCCACTTGAGTTTTAAATACCTTCGCTAAGAATCGCAATTCAAGAAGGGTTCAGTGCAGAAGATAATGTCCGTCTTCGCCTCGAGGAATTAGAAGCACTCGACGAAAAAAGATTGGAAACTCAACAACGAATTGAGTGCTATCAAGCCCACCTTTCAAAAGCATTCAATAAGCATGTCCGACCACGCTCCTTCCAGATTAGGGAGTTAGTACTCGCTGTTCGGAGACCGATCATTCTCACTCATGGCGGACAAAGAAAATTCACTCCTAAGTGGGATGGTCCATATGTTGTTCGAGAAGTATATACAAATGGCTCGTACAAGTTGGTTGCTGAGAATGGATTAAGGGTTGGCCCTATCAATGGCAAGTACCTAAAAAGGTACTATGCGTGATCGGAATCACGAAATGCTCTTGGCCCGCATGAGCTAAAAATGTGGATGGCAACCACTAATAGTGTAGTATGTGGTTAAACTGCTGAAACACTCCACCAAGTCTAAGGTAGTAAACAAATAGATACTCCTGACCCACATGAGGTTAAAATGTGAACGGCAGGAACTACGTGTGACTTGATTCCCTTGTTGGGATACGTAGGCAGCTTGGAGGGCAACTTCTAAATTCAGTTACATCACTCCAAATCGAATCCTTGTCCCTTGCAAAAAAAAAAATTCTCTTTCCAAAATAAAATATATATATAAAAAAATGCTCCATTTGAGTTCTTTTCTCTTTAAAAAAAAAAACAAGAGATAAGAAATGAAAAGCGTTTTATTATTGAAAAAAAAACTCATTACATGGAAAAATGAGTGATTCGTGGAAAAGAAGAAAATGGTAAAAAGTCTAAATATCAAATTTGTATTCCACTACAGCTACTTTATATGATTCAAGTGCAGATTTCATGTCCTCAAGTTCCTTCACAGCGTCATCGGTCAAGATGCTAGTATTTTCAATGGAAGATAGCTCATCATGTGCTTGGGTTATTTCGGCCTGGATCTCTTTGAAAGTCTCATGCTTTTGATCGATAGTTGAGGTGATTTCCAAGCTTTGCTTCTCCAAACTGATGAGTTCCTGTTGCAGAACCCTCTTCCTGTCTTCAATGGACTGTAACTTTTCTTCAAGACTTTGCAAATGACAAGTTAGTTCTTCTCCCTTTGCCTTAACTCTCTCGAGTTGGACGGTTGCTTTGGAAAGGAGTTCTGCATGTGTTTCTTTGCTCATCCTCTCCCACGATGAAGATGCCAAAACATCATAAGCCTCCGCCT